CACAAAGAGAAGGGCTCGCATTTGACTTGCTCGTAACAACTTCTCCAATCATTTCTAATTTTTCTTGTCTGGACATTTGCCTTCCAAACTCTAATCAAAGCCTGGTCCACAGTCCAGCAACATCAACATCATCTGGGAGCTTGTTAAAGAATCTCAAACCTGTCCTCACACCTACTGATTCTGAACCTGTATTTTAATAAGATCTCAGTTAATTACTCTGCTGTAAGGTTTGTAAAGCTTATCTCCCAGCATCTATTCTTACCTCTTTATCAACTGCTCTCCGCACAGCTGCCTGAGTAATCTTTTCATTTAATTTGTTTACCCACTGATTATTCCCTCCTCTAGAAGGAAAGGTCCATGAGGGCAGGAACAGGGCATGAATTTGCCCCACTAATTCAGTCAGCACGTACTGACTGTCTACCGTGTACTAGGCAGTCTGCTAGAGAGCAGGATGCAATAAAAATAAAGAAGGGCTTCTTTCCTCAAGTAGCTTTTAGCTACCTTTCTCCTTTCATGTTTCCAGTTATCAAATTCAAACCTTAGAGTCACCATTGAGTCCTTCTTCTATTCATTCCTCCTTCCAGTCAATAACTGGCTATTCTCTCTATATAAATTTAAGCTAAAAAAAACATCTCTCATTGCTATGGCCTCTTTTTTTATATACCCACCATCATGCCCTCTTAGAGCCTTCATTTTTTTTCCTGAATTATCCTATGACAGCTTTCAACATGCTCTCACACACAACTCTAATTTATCTCACATAGCTATATAAAAAAAGTCATCTGAAAATGCAGTTGAGATCATAATGGTCTCTTATTCAATATACACTCAATGGCTTTCCATTGAATACAGATTGAAAAAAAACCTCCTCAACTTGGCATTTAAGATCCCTTTACAATGTATTAGATTAAACTGAATTAAATTTTTATTTTGCACCCTAGCTGGTTTGGCTCAGTGGATAGAGCACCCGGCCTGTAAACTGAAGGGTCCTGGTTTCGATTACAGTCAAGGGCACATGCCCAGGTTGCGAACTCGATCCCAGTAGGGGGCGTGCAGCCTATCAATGATTCTCTCTCATCATCGATGTTTCTATCTTTCTCCCTCTCCCTTCCTCTCTGAAATCAATTAAAAAGTATATTAAAAATTTTATTTTACTTTGTAGTTCAAAAGGGTAGAATATTATCCATTTCATATGGTACAACCTAATAGTATTTATCTACCTTTCCATCCTTATCTATTAAGATTCCCCTTCCGCCTGCACTCTAGAATACAAATGAAATTAGTCAATGCCTGCCAAACATGTTCATTTCCTTTGGTTCCTTTTCTAATGTTTGTTCTTCCCGAAGCTCCTCCATACATTATCTCTCCCTGAATACTTCTATTCATCCTACTTCCATCTAAACAGACTCATCCTCCATGATGTGCTTCCTGTTGAGTCCCTTCTCAATTGTTAGTAATCCTGCCAGGCAATGAAGTCCCTTAAGAGATTATTCATGTGTCTCTTACATTATCAATGAGCATTGGTGCTGCTTCCTTGACTTACTCTGCTGTGCCCATTGAGTTCCAAAAGTGCTTTGTTGTATATACTCCTTTGCAAGTAGAACATCTTAACACATATTTGTGTAATTGTTAGTGCCCTTGGTTAGTAAGTTTTACTTAAGGTTGAATGTGTTAACTGTTCCTGATACTGTTCCCTGCTTTTTTATTATTTTGTCCATTTGAAACTTCTGTCATTAGTTAAATTTAAAAAAAAACTGTGCATGATATGGTATCTGTTATGCTATTTATCAACAGAATTCTCTGGCTAATTTTTTTCATATAGATTATGCAATTCAGTAATGCAACTTCATTGTGATGACATAGGAAAGGCTTTATTAATTCATTTACTTTAAGGTTTCCTGATATTCCTCCTTAAAGAATAAAGTTTCTTGGGTCAAATAGAAATATATATTAAAATATACACTGTATCAGAGCTTGAAAATTACAATGATGTCTTTAAAGATTTATTTACTTCTATATTATGTATATAAAAACAAGAATCTATAAGCATGCTATTTTAACCTTCTTGCAGCAACATACAAACCATGTACATAAATAAAACATGAACACAATCACTATGAGCCAAAAATTTACTGGAAAAAATGTAGTATGTTGTGGTTCATATAAAAGACTTTGGGCCAGACTTGTGTTGATTATCCGATTGGAGACTCTCAGTCCATTCATTTGTAAAATGGAGACCATCCCCACTTCCCAGGATTGTAGTGAGAGTTAAAACGAGACAACCTGTGTTAAGGGCTTAGAATATTATCTGGCACAGAGTCAACAAGAAACTATAGTTTTATTAATAGAGATAAAGGACAATAAGCACGATTTCTCTAAAGCTATTATGATTCTAGACGTTTCTTTAGAGATTCCTTAAATATATACGTATAAAAGGATGTCATACTGAACTGCTCCATAATGAGCAAGAAAGTGTTCAGGAAGACTATGACATCATTTCTAGTGTTGCATCTACAAAGAGAGAGAGAGGAGGGCCTCCTCCCCTGCGCTGCAGCAAAACCTTGGCTGAAGTCATGAAGAGCAATAAACAATGTCAAGCCTGGGAATATTTAGGAAGTGCCCATAAAGCAACACTCATGCTGCAGTTTGGCATCGTTCCCCTAGCTGATGAAAGGGAAAGGGACATTTAAAAAATTCTTTCCATCTTAACCTAAAACCAGAAAAGTCCTTTTCCATGGAGCCTGGAGACATTTTCAGACATGGTTTGGCTGCTTTTTTACCTGGTAATATCTAATTAATTACCATAAATTAGGGATTTATTATGAATATTTTAGGTAACTAAAAAACAAGATTATAGTGTGTAACCTTATGAAAAACAAGAACAGAAAAGTAATGAGGAAAAATGCAGGTTTTCCCAGCTAATTTATTTGTCCATCAAATAATTAAATCAGTAGTTATTTAACCACTGTGGTCAAGGCGTTATGCTATGAGCTGAAGATACAGTGAAAAAATCAGTAAAGGAATTTAACGGTAAAACTAATGCCCAGATGTTGGTTAGAAAAGCCATGATACAGATCCCCAACTCTTTTAGAGTCCAGTAGTCAAATTCTACTTTGATTTGACAATGTAAAAGACTATTTGAATGAACTCTGGTTGATTACACAAAATATATCAACACCTGGATGAATTTTTAAATGGTGCTAGAAAATTTAGGGACCAAGATGCTCTTGGTAAGGTAATAAATATGCCACTTCTCTAGTTCCAGGTCTTCTTGACAATACAGTAAAGATTTCTTTTGGGTGGATAATTAGTAATTTCATCCTTTTCCAATTCATGTAAATACCCCAGAGGTCAAAAATTAATATAATGACTTCCTACATGAGTCTGAAAATTAGGAAACAGATTTTCATATGAAATATATACTGTATGGATTTAGTTAGATGGCAAAATACCAAATAGAGGGTTGTGGTTGTTTTCACCAAATATAAAATGTTTTCACTTACTCTGAGTGAAACCTAACAAGAAAGTATGATCCCAAGGCTTTTACAATATTCAGGAGGAATCGCATGTCCTGTTTGGGGATTTCATACATGGTTCCTGAGTAATTTCTGAAGAAAAAGTGCAATATATTTTATCTATCTCTGAATACACAAGATGAACCTAACAGACTAACCTATTAGATTTTGTTCAGTATCTGAAATAATGCACTTTCCCCTTTTTAGAGCCCAGTGGTTTATTTTAACAAATTCATTCTCTTGTGCAACAATATTATATGATGCTGCCTACACTCTGGAAGGGGGTGACAGAGACATCTGTCCCTTCCCCCTCTCCCACAATAACCACCCACAGAAGCAAGGCTCTTACTGTTTGTGGAATGAATAAATTAAGGTTCTCTCTCATAATTACACATTGCAGAGAAAATTAAAGAAGGACAATGCATTAGTCTCCTTCAACTGCTACAAATATTCATGCTCACAGGTAAATATTCACAGACTTCTAGTATTTCAGCATCAGTAGTTGAATGTTAGCCATTTTTAAAGTATAGCTAAAAAAAAAAAAAAAAAAAAAAAAACTAACCTTACTGCGTAAAATATTTTGGGCCAGAGTCTGAGGGGAAATACTATGTGAATGCAAAGAAAAGGCTTTAATGACGTTATTGATCATCTTCTCATCAAGGCAGAAATGTCTTCCATTTTTTTAAAGCCAAATTACAAATAAAGGTTTTATTGACGTGGGTGTACATTAAAGTCAAAGATCACCTTAAGGAATTAAAGGAAAGGTAATACCCATCCTTGTCATCTCCAATCTGTATGTATCCTGATGCTGAATTTGAAAATTAATATTTTTCCTGTAAAGGCATAAGGCCCGAGAATAATGGATTCAACTGCTTTCATGGCAAGAGGAATGATCACTTTCTCATGCTGTCAATGCCAAATACAGTGTATTAAAATCAGTTCTTAATACCTAACAACCTCGGTTTTTGAATATATCTGTTGCTAAACCATCCGTGAATAAATTACAATCTTTTATTCACAAAACCCAACGATACTGAGTCATTCCTAGGCTTTCGTCTCTAGCACCCATTCTATTTGGGAAAGAACAGCCATTTCATTTAGCCACTTAAAAAAATCACTTCTTAGCAAGATTTCCTCAAATAAAATCAGTCTATTTCTCTTAAATTCAAATTATTGCACTTTCAGTAAGATAGGGAATTTTGCATATTTTTAGCCATTATAGTGATAAAAATCCAACAATAAGTCAGACATACTAATATCTGTAATAACGTGCAACACAGGCAAAAGACACAATTCTTTAGATATCTAATCATATAATAGCCTTAGAAAATGGCATTCTCCCTAGGAAATCATACATGCTCTAGACAATGATCGACGTAGGCTTAAGGATAAAAGACCAGGCACAGAGAGATTACTTCAAATAAAAACATTCCAATTCCTCCTTGATTTTCCCTCATTTAAACATATAAACGAAACATGTGGTACCTTTTAATTTTCTGAATGAGTGGTTCCCAATCAATGCTTCCTCGGTTACAGACAACAAACTGAAGAATCTACTGGAACAAAACAAAAGGAAAAAAAACATATATAGATTTGTTAACTAAATATTGAAAATTATAACTCACCAGTCAGAAAATGCATTCTTTACATCCAGACAATAAGTCTGTCTTGAGAGCTGTAGTACAAACAATGCAGCACTTGAATTTTTAGAAAGCTCGGTAATGAATTTAAAGCATTTTACTCTGGCATCACATAAAGCAGATTCTTTGGAAACCAGATGAGAAATAAAACAAAATTAAAAATGTAAACACCCCAGACCATTACCAGCGTGTATGGTGCGCTATCACCCAGTCTAGCCTCTGAGGATGGCTGCGGAATCCTTCTCCCTGAGCAGCATCTCCACACGCTGGCTCTGGCTGTCTAGCTCCAGACACACTGCAGTCTGCAAGCCACCAGCTCGTGCGTGTGTGTGTGTGTGTGTGTGTGTGTGTGTGTGTGTGTGTGTGTCAGGGAAAGGGGAGCTGCAAATTAGCAAACGTCCCCGCAGTGGCGAAAAGGAAAATAAGGCGAGTGGGAGAGAGAGAGGACGCGCACTAGCCTCAGAATTTTCGAGAATGATGACAAGCCACCCAGTTCCGCCATCATTCACTGACAATAAGGTGCAGCAGCCCTGGCTTATGATTCAGTGGTTGCCATAGGGGCTGCTGGTACCAAATGCCTGACAGGCATTTTAATTGCCTCCATCCAAGTGTGTCCCCCCCCGAGTCAAGTCTATAAGCCTATGATTGTCATCATCTGGTCTCCTTTGTGTTATTGACACACACACACACACACACACACACACACACACACACACTGCTTAAGCAGGCAGTTTTCAGACATACAGGATTACAAATAAGTTACAAACTGGATGTGACTCCATGACAGTTTATGAGAATTTTTATTATCTGCATCAATGACAACAGAGATTCTTTGATGTTTTGTCATTGGCAGATAATTAAAATATTTTAAAACTGAGGATTGCATATTGCTTATTTATATTCCAAAATAAATAACCATGCTCATTAGAAAAATGTATACACTTATGTATTTTTTCCTATGAAAAAAACAGTCCCCCTTGTAACTGTGATAATTAGGCACTTGGAAATGTCTTCCTTACAAGGAAGAATGCAAAAAAACACAACACCACCAAAACAAAACAAAAAAACAGAGGATTGGGAAACCAAGGTTGACCTGTGATTTCCGTGGGCAATCCATTTTATTCCATTTATACACAAAAGCAAAAGGAGCTGGCAACCAGCTTGAATCCTGGGACTTTACAGTCCCTGAGGCCAAGGCAGGGAATTGAATCTGGCATAATCAGTATCCCTTTTATGTTAGCAAGTGAAATTAACAGTTGAATATCCCTATTTTACAGTGCCCCTTATGTAGGGTGGTTAAGTGTAGAATAATTCTCCACATTTACTTCCTGGACAAAAGGAATGAAAAAATGTTAATAAATTAATTAATTTTTGCAGCATTGCTAGCTCCCTGCATCAGTGAATAAAGCAAATTCAATGTGTACCAAAAGGGCCGGCTGTGAAGACGGCTGTTGGGAGGGTGCTTCACCATGGTTACTGGAAACAGAGAGTACAGAGAAAAATAAGGTGATGATAGATAAAAGAGAAAAAGACTATAGTGGAGGAAATTTAGAGGCCTTTGATATGCTTCATTCTTTTCCTTCTGGAAAGAACTGTCTCAGATTCATACTACATTTTGAACGCATTACGATGAATTTGCTTTCCCCATTAGCGACCTTTCTTCTGCATTTTTGATCACTGGCTAATTTTGCTTTCATAATTAAACAAATTATGGTTCTTCTGTATGAGATAGGTCCTGCTCCATGCCTCTGTCTATCCTGAATTCATGAACACCCCTCAGCCTATTCCACACCCTTTGTTTCATAGGTGAGAAAGCTGAGGCCCAGGGAGTCTGACCAAGGTCACGGAGCTGAGTAGAGATCCAACAGAGATACCACCCCAGTTTCCTGACTCAGGCCCCCTGCTTTATTTCTCTCACCGAGTGGCTTTCTTTCCATGCTCTCTCCCATTCTGTTTGTAAACAAAACAGATTCTAGAAACATCTTTTGTGTTTGATTTTGTAATGCTTCTTTTATTGGCTAAAGCAGAACTAGTTTTGCTTAATATCTGTGTTGTAATAATGAGGTCTGAAGAATGTGGGGTGATTATGTCACCGCTTTCCTTTCATTTCCAGTCTGGCAATCAGATGAATCAAGCATGATTGCCCTTCTGTGAACCTACCTTGTTGAACTTGAACTTAATGATCATATCCTAGGAATTCTATCATCCCTGGCATCATTCTCCCTGCAGGCATGAAGTTGACCAATTGCATCAGAAAAGATGAAATACTGCACATTTGGGACAACATGGATGAATCTTGAGAATATCATGCTAAGCAAAGTAAGTCAGACAGAAAAAGTCAAGAACCATATGATTTCACTCACATGTGGAATATAAAGCTGAAAGCAACAAACAAACAAACAAAAACTCACAGACACAGACAACAGTATGGTGGTTATCCTAGGAGAAAGGGAGTGGGGAGGTAGAAGAGGGTAATGGGAGTCAAATATATGGTGACAGAGGAGACTTGACTTTGGGTGGTGCACACACAATGCAATACACAGATGATGCATTATAGAACTGTATCCTTGAAACCTATATAATTTTATTAACCCCAATACATTTAATAAAATTTTTAAAAGGGAAATTGGACTCGAATTGAGTTGGCCTCCCAAGGTTCCTTCTAGTTATGAACAATGTGAGCCTTCTTGGGATTACCCAAAATAATGAAGCCAGAAAATGGGAAGCCCAAGTAAAATTAAAATAAGAAGAAGAAGAAGAAAACTCAAAATAGCCACTGAGGGATGCAATACTTGTTAAAATCTTCTTAAACTACTTAGTAAAAATTGTGACTAGAATTTTTATCTTGATGTTTTTATTTCCTTTCTAAAGTGTCCTGTCAATATCCAGTTCTTACAACTCATTGCTTTTAGGTGAACTCATCTGCAGGTCAGGCCATATTGCCTTTTTGATGTTTAAAATACAGTTGCTACCACCACTACTGTTCTCTGCCCCCAGCTATAAAATAAATAAACATTAAAAATATATAATTACCCTAGGTAATAATTATAAAAGATTTCAGATTTCAGTGAATCTTCTATGCTGGTTAGGATATTCTTCCCCTATGAAAAGTGTTCCTTTAAATTAGTGGTTCTCAACCTTGGCTGCACATTAGAATCACCTGGCAATCTTTTTAAAATCCTGATTTCTGGGCCTCATCCTCTGGAAATTCTGTTTCTTTGTTACTAATGTTGTGGCCTCACCCCATAATGAAGAAACAGAATTTCCGGAGGATGAGGCCCAGAAATCAGGATTTTAAAAAAAGATTCCCAGGTGATTCTAATGTGCAGCCAAGGTAGAGAACCTCGGCTTTAATACTAGTAGATCATTCTGTTAAACGTCTATTTTTCTTCAGTGATTTTGAACACTAAGATTATTTTTCAAAGCAAGTGGCTTGTTCTAATATACTGTCATTTGTTACTCACGTCTTTCTATTTTTTTTTTTTAATCCCTACCCAAGGATATTTTTCCATTGATTTTTAGATGATTGGAAGAGAGATGGAAAGACAGAGAGAAATCTCAATGTGAGAGAAACATATTAATTGGTTCCTCCTGTACGCACCCCAATCAGGGCCCGGGCCAGGGAGGAGCCTGCAACTGAGAATCGAACCCAGGACCCTTTGGTCCACAAGCGGACGTTCCATCCACTGAGCCAAACCGGCTAGGGCTACTGCTCACCTCTGAGCAACCAAAAAAGATGCACAAGAGTGTCATTTCTTGAAACATGAATCACATTTTATTAAGATCTCATAAAGCACACAACCGGTTCTGGTCAGTCTGAAGAAAATAGCACAGCTTCCAAAAATACTTAATACTCTTTGGGAGCCATTTAACTTTTGGAGACACCTGGTTCATTCAATGAGAATGTGTTGGAATATTCTTTTTCTTAAGCTCCCCATTTGTTAATGAGGAACTAGTACTTTAACATGTCCATCACAGAATAAGCATAACGTGGTAAATAAAATTCCTGCCTCTAAGTGTGTTATATCCTAAGAATACAAGATGACAGATAATTGACTTTCATGATTTGTTAGATTTTTCATATTGATGCTTGAGCCTAAACTGCAGTCTTTTCTTACCCTTCTTCTCTTTGACAATATTCTAAACTTGGCTTAGCACCACTCATCAGCTCATTTTCCCAATTTTGATGACGCACCGTTATATATTTCAGACACTTGAGAGTTTCTAGGGATTGCGATAAAGGGAAACAAAATGTCCTCCTCGAGGAACTTCGGTGATAATGGAAGGAACACAGAAGTAAACAGAAACCAGCTTTCCACTTCTTTTTCTAACTTTG